GGCAATCATGTGCCCTGACACAGTTATCATGGGGCTAGTAGAGAACCACGATATGGCTGCCCAAACCATAACAGAACCCCCGCCATTTTTCGCTCTTGGCAACAAGCAGTCTGTATTATAGGCTTGAGATGGCGTTCTCCAGACGTAAACTCGGCCAGAAATGGGAAACAATGTGAAAGAAGACTCGTCAGACCATATTACTCGCTTCCACTGCTCTATAGTCCAGGCTTTATGACTTAAACACCACCTTTTCCTGTTACGGGCATTAGCATCACTGATGAGTGGCTTCTCAATTGCAGCACGGCCAGCAATTCCCTGTTTATGAAGCTCCCTTCTAATTGTTTTGGTACTCACAGGGTTCGGTAACACAACATTCATTTCAGCAGTAACTTTTGCAGCTGTTGTTGTTCTTATTTTTCGTCACAATTGCCCTTAATGATCGTCTGTCACGATCACTCGGGACACACTTTCGTCCGCGCTGTGATTTAGCAGATGATGTTTCCGCTTTTCAAATATGCGGAATAAATCTTCGATACAGTACCTCTTGAAACACTAAACACGTCGGCTACCTTGCTTACGGAAGCACCTACCATACGTGCTCCAACAATTTGCCCACGTTCGAAGTCTGTTAACTCTGACATAATGCAATGACAACCTCACATAACAGTACTCCGACAACAACTGAACTGTTTAGCACATTTACGAAGTTGTATAGGTGGCGTCAGTAGTCAAAAACGCCAGCGCCACCTACATATTTCATTAAAATCAATCTTTCTTTTCAAACATGCATTTCACAAGGTGTTTCCATATTTTTGGCCATCCACTGTAAATAATACATAGAAAATATAAATACATTTTAATGAAAGTGTACCGCTCCATGTAGCATGTTTTAAGCACAACATAAAAAGAAACTCACTATTAATGTATTATTTATATGTTAAGTGAAAGTGCTTCCAATACTACCAGCATCTGATGTGATTACGTCATAAAACTGGAACATGTTAACGTAACTCGAACCGTTTTTATTACACACTGTGTGGGGGTTTTATTACAGAACGTTCTTTACTCACTATATGAGAGTTCCCATAGCATGGTTTTTAATTCTTTGCGATTGCTTTGTGACCAATTTCGCTTGTCTAATATCAAAGTAAGTCCACGAAATTCATCCTTGCAAAGAGTCAATTTTGCGCCTATCTTTGGCAACAGCCTTGAGCTCCGTACAGGGGACAGTGTTAGCTGTTGCACAGTATAGAACTATAATACACAGAAATGATTTAGAGTTGAAATGTTCTTACGGAATATTTCATGAAAGTTATTTGCGTGTTAAAGGAGAGTTCCAGTCACCCAACCGGTATAGGGGTTAGTTTTCCTGACCGCCTTGCTGAAGGGCCCGGATTCGAACCCCGGAGAAGGCATGGATGTTTGTAAATGTGTAGTGTCTGTGCGGCTTGGAGGCACTCTAAATATGCGGCGAGCCGAAAGCCCTCTTGAGTGATTTGGTGGAGGAGAAGAGGGGGACTGACCCTCCCACCCGTTCCTCCTCCCCTCGGGCCATCAAAATTGTGGGCGGAGCTGAGTTAAATCGGAGTGTCACATGTAAAGTCCCAAACACATATGTTTCCGCTACGAGGGACTGGAGTTCGAAGGAGCAATTCTAAAAACCCGCACACTCCCTCGAAACCCCCGTAGCTAGGTTACCATTGTTGCTTACTACAAAGACTTGAACGTCAAACAGTAATCGATTATCGCTCAGATTGAGATCACGTGATCCTTCAGAAGCAGACCTTTCCTCTGATTGGTTGATCTCTACCCGGGACAGATCTGCAGCCGAAACATTTTCGGCGAGGATTCAAAAAGTTCCGCATAGCCAGTACATCGTTTCGTAGTTAGGTGGGACTTCGCTTCCAGGGGAGCCTTTTTTTATAGGAATTCTACGGTTTAAACCAGTGCTGACAGAATCTCGTTTCTCAGAAAAGTCCTGTCTAGCAGGGTCCGTCGCTAGATGTGATAACCTGTTAAGGTGCTTAAGGCTGATGCCAATGACAGGCATAATCATGCACTGCTTGCCACGGGGAACGATAGAACTAAAGCATATAGATATGATTTGAAACATTCTTGTAGAATGTCACCATCTGCCATACGTTAGCTGGAGCCGTGTTAGGTGGGGCCTTCTGTTACAAAAATTATACATTATCATATACAAAACTGTGGCTGCATTTTCATCCATTTTCTTTTCACTAATTTATTTTTTTCACTTGCTAAATGTATGATTTACTAGCTGTAGCCCTGCATGCGTTGCAATGCTACTTAAAGCAAAGAAAGTGTCTGTGCTTTAATATTAGAGTCAAAAGTCTTTAATCCGGACGTCCATAAACCAGAATGATCATTAATCCGTACCTCAAAGCTACAAACGTTCTGCGCATGCGCATAATACATTTATGCATGCGCATGCTACGTTTACGGACGGTATAAGCTAAGCTAATATTATCTAATTATCTATTTCAGTTAATGTTGAAGATTGCGTTATTCCTTAATCTTTGAATTGGATCCGGCTTATTATTTTTTGCAGACTGTTAGAGCAATTTTATAAAAGTAAGCTTGAACTTTCGATTATGCCACCGGAACTTTGTAACTGAACAAGAAATTATGTCTGTTTATAGAATTAAAGAGAAAGTATTAGCACATAAAACGAAGCAACTTAAACAACTTACATTGAAAGAAATGTTTAATAAAGTAAACAAATAAATATTAAGCATTGGTAAATTTTGATACCCTTTAGATCATAATTGCTCTTTATTTCATAGATTACGGTTTCATATTTTTAATTTTGTAATTTCTGCATGCCATCTTACCAGATTTAAACTGATGATCTATAATCCGGAAAAACCGATAATCCGGAATCGCCGAAGTCCCGACGAGTCCGGATTTAAAGACTTTTGACTGTATTATAAAAGTTTTTGTTTATGCTCAGTTTGCATGTTCCTCTTGTCCCGTCTGATACCAAAGCTGATAATGGTTCGGGTGATGGATTTAACTCGAGCAGTTTCACTTTGGGACCCGCGCAGCACACACCTGGTGATTCATTCTTTAAGGGATCTGTAATGCATGATTAATTTATTCATCTTTCCAACGACCACACTCGGATGAAGACTGTAATGATAATTAGCATCGTAATAGAATGCACCGAGATTTAGATTAGCCTGCATTGTTCGTTTGAAACGAGCAGTGCTTACTCAAACCTTTTCCAGTCTTGCTTCCCTTTGCTCGTCTGTTTCAGACGAACAGGCTTGAGCATTGCGTACTCAAACTCTTCCAGTCTTTCTTCCTGTTGCTCATTTGTTTCATAAGAACTGTCTCGGGAAATGCGTACCCGAATGTTTTCCAGTCTTACTTCCTGTTGCCCGTTTGTTTCTAAAGCTCGTGATGCCTTTTTCTTTCGTGCTTGAGGCTTGGATCGAGCAATCGATTTTCTTTTTGTAGTGTGACTGATTTCATAGCGAAATTAGGGCTTTGTGATTACTATTACAAATTCATTATCAAAAAGCAAAGAAAATGTATGTGTTGCAATAACAGCCATGCGTGAAAAATTAAATGCTGTACTGAACGATAATGTACTTTAAACTATTTTAATTTGGGCAGTGGCAACACATTTCTCTTAAATATCCGAGTTTATTTATTAAATTCGAGGCAAATTAATAATTGCGTTTTCCCAAGTGGCAACATAGTTTCTTTTATATCGCCGAGTATTCGGATTAAATTTGAAACATATATATCTTACGCTTTGCAAAGTGGCAACCCAAAGCTTTTAAATCGCTGAGTTTTAAATCAAAAATTTGTTAAAGTAGCGTGAAATATATGTATATAAATACAGCGTACCTCATGGACTGGTTTTTGAGAAATCTTATGTAGACCGTTACTTTTCTCCTGTTTTGAAGGTCGAATGTGGCAAGTTTCAAAAACATGGGGGGTTTGAAGGTAAAACCCCACATTTGCAACAAAAAAGAGAGAACGTTTTTCCTTCCTTTTCGCAAGTTTGCTCCGTTCATAGCAGAGATTGATGTCATTCTAATATTATGTATATATTTTGATTTTAGTAAAGAGTTTATTCTTTATAAGTTGGTGTTTAGTAGTTACCTAGATACCGAAAACATCGGAATTAAACTGTAGGTTCGTATAAAAGACAAACAAACAAGCGTTCATTTATATAAATGTAACAGGGCCCACCAGCGGCCGAGCGGTAAAGTCGCTGAACACTGGTAGTTCGGTCCGAAGTTCTAATCCCGCGAACGGGCTGGTTGCATGAGCGTTTTCGTGGTTTTCCCCATGTGTAACGTATATACGAGCCAGTTTCCCTTAGAAAGTCCTCCACGAAGGTATTCCTTCCCTTAGGCAGATAGCCCTCGAGGCTTTGCCATAATCCCCCCACACACATTATAAATGTAAGATATAACAAAATGCGATAGCTGCTTTAAAAGCAATTGGTGACCTCAAAATTAACAATTCTAGATTTGGTGCTGTTCCCCATAATTCATCTGTTCTCCCAAATTAGAGATCCTTCCATGTTATGCAACAACTTAAAATTAACCAATAAAATATTAGCTGTACTTATACATCAGAGTTAGTATAAATTCTCTTGGCACAATAAACTACGTCATTCCATTCCTTTCATTAAGAGTTGCTCTGCCAACCCCGCGCCACTTCGCTTCTTAGATGCCTACGTCATTTCTTTAAGAAAACCAATGTATATAGATAGAATTTTACCATATTTAATTATGATTGAATAAGTGTCTGCCAGACTGATTGTGAAAATAAAGATTGGTGATTTGTCGGAATCCAGTTTTGTCATCTTTGTTTCGTCTTGACACTCTTCCAGCACGACTGCGAAGTAAAAATATTGCATATATATGCTAGATAACTGTATAGCAAAATATAATTGCACAGTTCTGTTAAATGAGCGTTTATTTCGCCTTTTTAATGTAAAACTTATTGTTTTCTTTCAGCGGTTACGTCGCAATTTACCCCCAAGTCTCTTGCGTCGTATGTCCACCAGCACGTGGACGACGACCACATCAGCCACAGGATTACCAACCCTGGAGCCAGAACCATCCAGAAAACGCAGCACTAGTTTCCGACATCCCACGGATTCGCAGAATACATCTCCAAGAGGAGGAAATAGTCCTCAGACAGGATGCGCTATATCTCCCAGGTAAGATTTTTAACAGCATCTTTCGCATATTGAAGATTTCTGTGAGGAATTTTTAGTCGCATATATACAGAGTGATCGTTTTTTAAAGTGACAGTGTTTGAAGCGCCCTGTAACGCGATCTAATAGCCGAAATGGCACCAAACTTGGTATTTAGGCTAATCAAGACATGGAAGAAAGGATTCCGGGAAAAAAAAGAGTTAAAAAAATCTCCACTAGGGCATTTTGTGGCGCTGCTGTAGCTTACAATAACGAGAATTAGCATAAAACACGGGTATCAAAGGAAAATGCGAATGTTGTGCGATGACAGCGCCAGTAAAAGGGGCTATAAAAGCAAGTAGTAGACAGCTCCGGACAAATAATCTCAGCTGAAGTAAACAAGCTCCAGTGGATATATGCCTCTCACGTTACCGGAACGTGTGGTTACTACTGAAGTTGTATTACATGAATCAATGTACTGCATCCGCAGCTCTTCGCGAATTTCGAACCAGATAAAAATTAAAAAAGGGGCCTTTATCGCTGAATGGTCTTAAGAAAATGATTAAGAAGTTCGGGGAAACGGAGTCACTGACCATTTGCGCTGGAAGAGGACGTAAACCAGTATCAGAAGATGTAATAACTGATGTGGCAAATGCAATTGTTGAAAGAACGCAGGGAACCATTGCTGGTACTAGCAGCGCCCGGGGTGTAGCTCGACAATTGGACATAAATTATTCCACTGTATGGAGAGTTTTGCGGCGCGTTATTGGATTTTACCCCTACAAAATCAGCCGCTTGCACGAACTGAAACCAAGTGATTATAAGCGAGTGACATTCGCTTTATCGTTTCTTGCCAGGGTAGAAATTGATGATGCTTTCCCATGGCACATTCTGTGGGGGAGATGAGTGCCATTTTTATCTCAGTGGGTCCGTAAACACACAAAATAGCCGAATTTGGGCTTCTGAGCAGCCTCACACGATGCACGAAATCCCATTAAATTCCCTAAAAGTCAATGTTTGGTGTGGTTTCTTCAAAACATGAAGACTGATACAGGTATTGCATACATACCTCTTCAACGTATTCTTCCAACTCTCCTGACGTTTGACCTGTAGACTATTTTGCCTTTGTTTGTAGAGTCATTAGGTTAGTTTTGATGCAGCAGACGTGAAAAAAATGTGCAATGCCATCGCCAGGACTCGAACCTAGACCTGTCGAAATACGCGCCATGTGTGTTACCATTACAACACGATACCATGATGGAAGGAGGGAAAAAATACCGCGTATATTCCCTCTTTTTAAAGGGCGCTGCGGATCAGGGCACCCAAACGCCAAATCCTCGTGGTGGCGAATTATTGTCCGTCATCTTTCAGTTCGGGCGCCACTGTAGAATCATTATGCTAGTTTGATGCTGGAGACGCGAAAAATGTGCAGTGCCCTCGCCGGGACTCGAACCTCGATTTCCCGAAATACGCGCCGAGTGTGCTGCCACTTGTACCACGAAAGCATGCTGGAAGGAGAGAGTACATTCCTTAAATGGTCTTTTGAAAAGAGCTCTTTCTTAGTGCTAACCTATCACGATTGATGGATTCTCTAAAGTAGTGACAGAGGCAGTCAACAGCCCTGAAATATTTTCGAAAGCGCTTCTATCATGAAAATTACGGTAGAGAAGTAGGAGTTCAGACGAAAAGGCTACAAGATCAAACATTTAAAAAAAATTTTTTTATCGTTTGTAACATTAATTAACCGGCCTCGAAACCATTCTAAAAATAGGTAAATAATCCCCGGATATTTACCTGTTTTTAATTATTAATAGTTAATTTTTATATCTCATGACTCTTAAATACATTTCCATTTTCTTGCAAGAGCGTGAAAAGACTAAACTTGTCAGAGTCATTGAGCGCTAACCTGATGAAATACTGAAATTAAAATGCCATAGAAACTGCCACCATAATGGAGAAGTGCGAAAAAAAAAAATACTTGAACAAAAATATGATCATGGAGGAGGGAAAAAATATGTATATTCCTCTTTTTAAAGCGCTGCGGATCACAAACGCATTAATAAATTGGCGAATTTAAAAATGTCGCAATTTCAACGTATATCAGCCAATAGTTATACGCAAATGTGTACACGCAGGATGGGGAATCGAATAAAAAATAACTTGTAAAAAAAGGAAGAGAGATACTAAAAATCAATAAGATTTTCGAATTATGGTGAACCTATCACGATTGAAAACAAGTAGCGAAAGCAATACAAAAATTAAAGTTTCTCTTCTAATGAATTTCACGGAGAAAAGGTGTCAGACGAAAAAAAAAAAAAAAAAAAAATGGTAAAAAATTAACCGGCCTCTGAAAAATATAAAAAAAACCCGGTAACCTGTTTTTAATTATTAATAGTTAAATTTTTATGGGCTATCTCTGATTATGACTGGATTCTGCAGATTTTTTAATTAGAGAGATAGAAAGGGTCTTTAGCCTCACGTATAAAGCTATAATAAATATTTAATATCTTCTGAATGCTATATTTCTGAAAATCTGAGACTTTCAGACTGTTGAAATAACAAAAAATATTTTGCATTATACTAGATATTAAAATAATACTTCACTTCCTTCTATAAACACACTTATATCTACAATTATGGAAATATTTAAATAAAGACAATTCATTTTCAATCTTAAAAGCATTTTTTAAACGAATGCCGCAATATTAGTCATAAAAATAATAGTGCATTTATAAATACGCCGCCAGACATTTTCTCTTTCTCCACAAAATTGTCAGCCTTTTAAAATATTTATTTGAGCATAAAAACAAAACTGAATGCATCTTTTTCCGTGCTATTTTCCATGCAGTTGCGGTTTATATCTGAGGTCATTAAACTAATAAAATGTCGAATGAAAAGCCCATTATTTAAAAGGCGAATAGCTAGCCTAGGGCATTAGAAAAAGCAATTTATGTTCCAACAACTCTCATTCGAAAGGACAATATATTGCTATGTTCCTATCCCCAGGGCTCCTTGAAATGGTTGTTAAATTAATTTATTGTAATTTAAATTCTTTGCACCGCGTTTTTTTTATTATTATAAGATAGCATATTTTTAGTTAGATAGATATATGATATATTATTAATGCATTATGTATAGGGTCAGTTAATTATAATATGTTCAGTTTATCTTGGATAAATGTAATAGCGATTTTTAGCAAAAGGTCCGTTGGCACAGAAGGGCTATTAGTCTCAAAACGGCATTTTGCGTCGAATCACTAAAACCGTTAAATCACTTTTCAAATTGTTGCCACCAAATATGATCACCTTATAAGATATTCCTCCCGCCCTCTTAGCGAGCATTTATGGTGTAATGGTCTGCACACTAAGCGCGTAATTGAGAGGTCCGCGGCTCGATTCCCGGCGAAGGCGTTGCTAATTTTTCATCTTGCCTTCTTCCGAAATTACCTAATATCTCTGAAACCTTGCATTATATTTAAACAGTTAACTGTGATTGACGAGTAAACTCGTCATTGAGAAGCGGCATGATTCTGTATAATGACAAGTATACCCGTCGTGCGTATAATGAAATGGAAAGATAAGAGGGAGGTTTATTTAATAAGTACTGTACACAATGACAACGTAATAGAAACAGACAAAAGAAAAATAATACCAAAGAAACCGGAGCTAGTGGTTGATTATAATAAAAAAATCTGACGTGTACACCACGTGACTTCCTTGTATCGGAATATTAAATTATACGCATTTTTTCTTGCATTTCATTTAAACGTATTGGATTGAATTAAATCTACTTCGTCGACAGCGCATAAACCACAATAGAATAAATGCATTCTTTAAAATTCACTTTAGTATAATCCAATAATTATATAACAGTTAACTTATATATTTCGTTCATATTATAACTCATAATGCACAAAATTTATATCATTTAAAGAATAAATCGTTGCCACTTGTTCTATTCAAATACTATAATAAAGCTAGAATGATGTATAAAAGAAATTAAGCAAACAAAACAAAAAAGAAACAGTTTTTCACAGACGATTGAGTATTTCTCATTTAATTAATTCAGTTCTCACTTCGCGAGAAGGCAAAAATACACAAAAACTCAAAATATCTATATTAAAAATTACGAAGTAAATCTGAAACACTTATTTCCTCGAAAAAATTCCAGAAAGAATTAAGCATGATTTAAATAATAAATGAAGGCGTTATCTTTGTTGTTGCGAAGCTAAGTTCTCTAGATTGGCAACAAATCCACTAGTCTCCTGTTTCAAATGTAAACATCAATGGCCGCCTTTAAAAAAGGCTTAGCGGAAATTAAACAACTTTAAACTTGCTGATAATTCTAAAAATATTGCACACAGATTTACTAAAAGCATAAAATTCTTAACCGGAAGATAAAAACAACATTATTCAATCATTTTTAAAGCAAAAAATGTACAATTTACCAACATATATGAGTAAAGAAACTGAGATCAATGAGCCGGGTAACAGAGTGGATATATATATAAATATATTTATACACGTTTGGTGCGACCGATTGCAACCAAAATACGAGGTGCACATCTACATGTTATAGCAGTCCTATATACAAAATTTCAACGTTCTGAGGCTACTCGTCTTCGAGTTATGCGAGATACGTACGTGCGCACGTACGTACATACGTTCGTACAGACGCCACGAAAAATTCTCTTCAGAATTGATTTTAAAGCAGTTTTATAATTTTTTTTGAAGGAAATGAGTATTTTATTCTGTCTTTACGTACAGATATCACGCAGAAACATCGTTAAATTGCATTCGACAGCGGTCAAAATGGATATTTTCGTTGAAATATGCTGCCTGAAACTTTTTGCGATTACAATACTTCCTTTTTACTTCTTACAAGGAAGTAAAAATGGTGGAGTGGATAGGAACGATGGAGTTATCATAGCTTACTCCACAGCAAGAAAACGACTCAAAATGTACTACAAAAACATATTTCTCCATTTCTTAGACATTATGTGTCTGAATGAATTCATATTATATACAA